TGGATTATCTGCACTCAGAGCGCAAAATCCATCGAGACATTAAAGGTCCTGCAGGGTGGGCGTGGTTCCCTTCTGCCCTGGGCTATCCTGACCTTGGAGAAGTTGGGTGTGTGGGGCATGTGGCCACCCAGAGGCTGAGCAGTCCAATCTTGCTCAGCTTTCAGAGGATGCTAGTGTTGGGGATGGAACCCATGGCCTTGTCCATGCTGGACAGGCACTCCACCACTGAGCTGCCTCCACCACAACAGAGCCCTTTTAGTCACACATCCTCACGTGTGAAAGGGACCAGCTGTGCGCCAAGTGTAGGGCAGGCTGGTGTAAACTCAGTGTTTGTCTTTGTCTGTGGTCTGGGGTATGTTTGTGTGACCCTTCTTGCTAAGCCCAGTTGAGCTGGTTCTGTAGGGAGGTGCATGCTGAGGGTACTGAGACTTTCTTTATATGGTGGATATGCTAGCAGAGTGAGGGGCCTCCTGCTTGTCCCATGTCAGCTGTTCTTTGGGTTGGGGTCACTCACAGGAGCCCACGGGGGAGTTGCTTTGTTTTTGGAATTCATCATAGTAAAACCAGATTTTTGAGACTAGATTCTCTGCTTCTGTTGGTGGGTGGGCTGCAGGCCTCTGCAGCCAAGGACTCCTGCTTAAGTCTCAGCAGCTAATTGCAGCAGGGGATGCCTGCTGGCAAAACCAGATTCTTCTCCACTACTGTGGAGTGGCGCCTGTAGTTTTTAATGGTGGGCCATACCCTCCAGCAGCGGACCCCTGCAGCTCACCGCCAAGCCAATTTCTTTTGGGGTTCTTGTCTTGCAGATTAGAGGAATTAAATCCACAGATGAGGGAGAGTACGTGTAAAAGAGTAGAGTTTATTCAAGTGAGAAGAAAAAGAGGCAGAACTCCCACAGGGCAAGCGGACGTGTGAGGGTTGCCACTTAAACCTACTGTCTAGGGGATTTTATAGCTTCTGAGTGGGGGCATTGATCCAACCTTGCTCAGCAGGTATGGGGATGTCCCCATCTCCTGGGAAAAAGGAGTTGGCCAGAATATTTGGAACATTTCTACAGGTTGACCTCAGGGAGTGTGACCACCTTTATGTTGAAAAAAAGGCCTGACATGAGCCTCTCATTGAACAAGAGCCAGACTCCTGGCTTGTGGGCTCCTGCTGGCAGTGCTCCAGGGCTCCAGGTGGCCTGTTAGGTGGCTGTGCACAGGGCTTCCTGGGCCTTTGTGGAGCCCAGGGTGATGCCCACTACCCTGTGTTGAGCAGCTGCCAACGTGCTGCTGTCGGAGCAAGGTGACGTGAAGCTGGCGGACTTCGGGGTGGCAGGGCAGCTCACAGACACACAGATCAAGAGGAACACGTTCGTGGGCACCCCCTTCTGGATGGCACCTGAGGTCATCAGACAGTCGGCCTACGACTTCAAGGTGGCGCAGTGGGAAGGGAGGTGGGCGGGCACTGCAGCCCCACAGGTGCCTCATGCTGCCACTGTCCCATGTGCTGCCCTGTCTAGGCTGACATCTGGTCCCTGGGCATCACGGCCATCGAGCTGGCCAAGGGGGAGCCGCCCAACTCCGACCTCCACCCCATGCGCGTCCTGTTCCTGATCCCGAAGAACAGCCCGCCCACACTGGAGGGCCACCACAGCAAGCCCTTCAAGGAGTTCGTGGAGGCCTGTCTCAATAAGGACCCCCGTTTTGTAAGGCCTGACCCCCGCCCGGCCCTCGCAGCTCTGGGCACTTGTGGAGGGAGGAGGTGGGGGCTCGAGGTGGTCCTCTGAGAGGAGGTGAACGGCGCCTACTGACTGCCCTCCCCCCCAGCGGCCCACAGCCAAGGAGCTGCTGAAGCACAAGTTCATCACTCGCTACACCAAGAAGACCTCCTTCCTCACTGAGCTCATCGACCGATACAAGCGCTGGAAGTCGGAGGGGCATGGCGAAGAGTCGAGCTCCGAGGACTCTGACATGTGGGGCCCCACTCCCCAGAGCTGCCCGCTGCCTTCATGCCCCATAGCCTTGGGTGCTTTGGAGGGAAGGGGGTTTCCACTCGAGAAGCAGGGCCTGGGCGGCTTGCTGGGTTGGGGTCTGGTGTTGGGCTAAAGGAAGGGGCCTGTTGGGTCACCTGCATGGTGTGGCTTGGTTAGAGCTACCCACGTCGACTTACTTCTGGGCTGCCTCAGAAAACGTGAGAGGCACTTGAGACCCTGGAGGTCCCTCCCCGCACCTGGATCATTCCTGACTCGTCCCTCTTTCTAGTGATGGCGAGGCTGAGGACGGGGAGCAGGGCCCCATCTGGACGTTCCCTCCAACCATCAGGCCGAGCCCACATGGCAAGCTGCACAAGGGGACTGCCCTGCATGGCTCCCAGAAGGTCTGTCCTGGCCTGGCCCTGGGGGCTGTGGCCCACCCCTCCACCCCACCCCATCCAGCTGTGTCACAGCCACATGTGGTAGGGGTACAGGGTGGGCTGGGAGTGGGGCTCCAGGGAGGTCAGCCTCCACAGGGCCCAAATGAGCTGCTTGAGGAGGCCACAGTGGGTTGGACTGGAGCGTTGCCTGACCCCACCCCATGTCTCTGCCCTCAGCCTGCAGAGCCTGTCAAGAGACAGCCAAGGTCCCAGAGCCTGTCCACGCTGGTCCGGCCTGTATTTGGAGAGGTGAGGGTAGGGCTGGGCTGGGTCCCCCAGGGCCACGGTTTTGTTCCCAGACACCTGTCCTGAGCACCTTGGAGTGGGGCCCTGACCGCCTAGAGCTGGGGTTTCCTCCTGTTGGTCTCCAGGTTTCCGGCAGCTGATGGTGGTTAGGCTTATGGGTCGGGATTCATAGTGGAAAGACCACAGACCACTGACAGTGCCCTGGAAAGACCCTTTGTGTCCCCAGACCTGCTGAGGCCCTCTGGCATCCCAGGTGGCTTTGAACAGGATGCACATCCTATGACTTTGTGTCACACAGCAGACAGGGAAGGATTGGGGTAGTTCAAGGTCAGGGCCACCCGAGAGCCATGTGACTTCTGGTGTGTCTTTACACGTGTCACCTGCTGATGGCAGGTGAGAGCCATCTCCAGAAATAGAATGTAGCCAGGACCCCCACCCCCAGATCTGGACCTGGGACTTAGGTGGGCTCAGACCTGCCTTCCCAAGAGCACCAGTTACCACCCCTGGGGTGACAGCAACAGGTAGAGTCCAGGTAGGGAGGATGGGACACTGGTGAGAATACAGGGACAGCCAGGGCAGTGACTTGAGTCACATAGGTGCAGTCTCTTGCGTGTGTCCTAGGGAACTGGTCCAGCCCACAGTCCCACGGCAAGGTGACCTCGGTAAGGAGGCCCCTCGGGATTGGAGGTCCCATGATAACTGCTGCTGTGGCCCCGGGGTCACACTGCCTGGGTCTGGCCCTGCTGTTCCCGTGGTGGCTGGGCGGCGTGTTTTTCCATCTGACTGGACCCATATGACTGTGTTTGTGACCACAGCAGGGAGGAAGCCACATATTCCCTCCCAAGAACCAAGGCCCAAGACTCCCTGGAGCACAGCGGGAGGGTGGGCCTTGTGGAAGGGCAACTGGAGTCCCTCGGCAGGGAAGGCCACACTGCCACCCCTAGCTTGCTGGGGACTCAGTGAGGGTTCCAGGTGAGGCCCCCATTCAGGCCAGGTGTCTCTGCAGCTCAAAGAGAAGCACAAGCAGAGTGGCGGGAGCGTGGGTGCCCTGGAGGAGCTGGAGAACGCCTTCAGTCTGGCTGAGGAGTCCTGCCCTGGCATCTCCGACAAGCTGGTGGTGCACCTGGTGGAGCGAGTGCAGAGGTGAGCTGCCCGGGAGGGTGGCCTTTGCCCTTTCTAGTTTGTGCTCATGGGTCTGGAGAGGCCAGGCGGGTGTCTGGCACCCAGAGTTCAACCCTTAGCCCCGTGGTCTGATGTCTGGGACAAAGTCCCTGGCCCAGGGGCATGGCGTCATGCAGCTGACCTCTGACCTCCCCCGTGGCTTCCTGTGGGGCCTGCTGCTGAGGCCTATCTGTGGTGTGCCTTGGGACAGGCCGGGCCCTCCCAGCAGCTGCTGGGCTGGGTTCCAGGTTCTCACGGTTGCGCTGCAGGCACCTGTTCCCTGCCCCTCCCTCCTGGAGATGCCCACCCCCGCACTCTTGGGGGCTGGGTCTGTGCCAGTCCATGCGGCTCCCAAGACCTGAGGCACTGCTGCAGCCTGCACCGAGAGCCCCAGGGCCTGGCCCCGGAGCATGTCTGTCTAAGTGGCCAGGCAGTAGTGTGATGGCCCTTCCTCCGCAGGTTCTCACACAGCAGGAACCACCTGACGTCCACCCGCTGAGCGCCGGGTCACTCTCCATGGAGAGCCGGTGCTGCGTCTCTGTTCTGAGCTGCAGAAGGTCTGTGCTGAGCTGGAAGCCCCCTCGTGCTGTGCTGTGACTGTCAGGGCATGCCAGCCTGCAGGCCTCACCACCTGGTCGTCCTCCCCCTGCTCCCTACCCTGTCCCCCGCTCTCCTGGCCTGGCTGAAGCTACACCAAGCAGCAGGGAGCCCGTGGAGACCAGGCAGCCAGTGGGTTTCCCTGAGCTGGCCCAGCCCTCCACATTCAGCCCTAGGTGGCCAGACCAAGGAGCAGAGCGGCCGACAGCTATGCCTCCTCCCCGCTCAGGTGGGCGGGAAGTGTCAGGACACCCAGCCTGGGACACACCGTCCTTGGAGTCATGGTGACCATGTGGCCCTAGACCTGCCTGTGGTGCCAGGCAGGTGCTGTCTCCTCATGAGTATTTGTGTCATCAGATGTGTTGTTTTTTAAGAAAACCAAGTTTCTTGTTCCCTTCAGTGCTGTGAGGGTACGTGTTGAAGGCCCTGCCGTCTCTGTTGTTAATATTAAGACCTGGCCTGCAGTCGTGCCGCGGGCTGGCCAGGCCAGGCTCCTCCGCCTGTCTCCCCAGGCCCACCTCGGTGCTGGCCTCCCTTCTCCCTCCCTGGAGTCAAGAGTTCCGCACGGCCCACTGGGGAACAGAGAAAGGCAGAGGGCATAGGCGGGTGAGAAGATGCTGTTTATCTTCAGTCACAAAAGTTAACAGGTGGCATGTGACTCCTCCCTGGCCAGGGGCTCAGCTCTGCTGTTCCAGAGGCCCATGGAGTAGAGACTGGTCAGCTCCGCTAGACTAACCTTGCAGGGACCCCTGGGCCAGCCTGGGGCCTCTGCAGGGCCTGCATCCAAGGCCTGACTGATGTGGATGGAGCTGGGGCCATGGGGCTGCAGGCAGGTGTGGGGCTATCTGCCTGGTTGTTCAAGGCCTGCCCTCAGATGGGGCCCTGCCCCACACTCCAAGCAGGGTTCTATGTCCCTTTTGAGAACCTGTGAGATGGAGACATGTGTTTCCCAGCCACCCACTGGCCTGCACTGCATTGTGAGGGGAAAAGCCAGGGCGTCCCTGAGGCCTCCAGTGCTGTTGGTGCCGCCTCCTGCCTGGCCGGAAGCTCTGGGGCCCCAGCTGGGTCTGCTGTCCACAGCCTTCCACAGCAGGTCCTGGTCCAGGCCAGATGGGTTCACTCTTCCTCCTCCCTGACTGCCCCTTCAGACCCTGAGGCAGCATGTGGACAGTCCTGCAGGAATCTTGGAGGCCGCCCAGGTGAGGTGCCGGCCCTCTGGATCACCTCCATCCACCTGCAGAGGGTCCTGCTGTCAGACCTGTGGGCTGATGCTCACACACCCTTCCCACAGGCCCCCAACATGGAGTGAGTGAGTGAGTGGACAGCAGGGCCAGCTAGGAATCCTGCCAGCCCTCCTCAGCAGGGCACAAGGAGACGGTGATGCTCCCACTGTGAAATCACCTCTCAAACGTATACTTGCTCTCAGCCCGGAAGAAGTAGATGTGGGACTTGAACTGCAGCTTGAAAACATAGTCTTTGTGGATGCCATCAGCCTCCGTGGCGACACTCACACTATAGCCCAGCAGAGGGAGGCTGGCCAGGGGGTGGTCGTCCTGGGAGACACACAGGGCTTGTACACACAAGCCGCAGGCCAGGGAACTAGCCATCCCTGCTCCCTCCCCCAGAGAACCCAGGGGTGCTTTGCCATTGGGCTCTGATCTCTACTTGGAGACCAGTCCAGGCACATTGCTGAGGCAGGCATGGCACTTGCAATCCCCCGGCCTCAGCTTCCTGCATTGTGGGGAGCCCAGGCAGGACAGGTGAACACCCCAGCACCACCTGGGCCCTGGCTCTGTTGAGCACACATACCTGATGAGTCTTGTAAAAGAACAAACAGAAGTTGGTGAAGACCACCCAGAGCTTCTGCCAGCCGTCACCGTTTTTGAACTTTCTCAGCAGATACCCTGAGAGTTGGTTCTGACAGCAAAAAGGGCAGAGGGGCACGTCAGCCAGAAGCCCCTCCCACCTGCCCCCCCCCCCACGTCCAGGCTCCTACAGGGACACTAGCAGGCCACACAGCCTGGGGACAGTGACCCCAGCATTCAGACTGTCCACAGATTTACCCAGCAGCAAGGAGAGGACAGGGCAGGGTTGGGGTGTGCTGTGTCTGGAAGGTGCTTCTCAGTGCTGGAGGAGGCACCCACCCCCAGGTCGGGACCAGGCCCTGCCCCAGGTGGCTCTGGGGCCTGTGTTCCACAGACAACTTCTGGAAGTCAGCAGGGAGCTTACCAGTTCAGGGGGAGGAGGAAGGTCCTGCTAGGACCCTGGTCTGAAATACTGACAATAAAGGGCCAGGCCTCAGAACCTGCCATGTTCTGGCACAACCCAAGTGACCTGGGGGAGTCCCTGGGCCCCAGCCCAACAGAAAGGAGGAGATGGACAGCGATCAGGCCTGGGGAAGGGTGGGCCAGAGTCCAGAGGGGGCTTTCCTCCATGAGTGCACCAAGGCTGCTGCCTTGAGGCTCTTCTGGGGTCACCCCCAGGACACAAGTAGAGGGGTTCAACTGGAGGAGAGGTTTCCCAGCTGACCTGCCAAGGAGGAAGCAGGAAGCAGCTGGCTGTGGCCAGACCTGGTCACCTGGGACCTTCCTGAGGGCCCGCCCTTCGTGGCCCAACCCTGCACTCGGGGAAGTCTTACGACGGCCATACCTCGACAGCGGCACTGTGGTCAGCCCTGGACACACTCGTGTTGCGATACCAGCACACGTGCATCATGGTGTTGGCCCGGTGCTGGACCTGCCCCTCCAGGGAGCCTCGGGTCCCCCGGGCATCTTCTTCAGACTCCTGCTCCGGTGACGTCTCATCAGAGGACCCTGAGGGGAGCCAGCAGTGTTGGGTGCCTCCCTCCCCAGGGCAGCTTCGGGAATGGGCTGTGGGAGCTGGGTGGGTGGGTCTGCCTGGTGGAAGGGAGCAGGCAGGAGGCCAGCAGGTTGATGGTGACCAAGGAAAGCCATTTCCAAAAAGCTCCCAGGGGCAGGGTCCTCGGCCATGACTCACTGGGGGCTTGCGTGCACAAGATGCCCCCTGGCAGCTCCGGGAACGGGGTGCTGCTGCTCCTGGCTGCTTGAATGGCAGCATTCAGGTCCAGCATCCACTTCTCCCTTTCCTGTTGCGTGCTGCAGGGCGGGAGTGGGCTCTGCTCATTCCTTCTGGCTCAGGAGGCCAGGGCAGGTGAGAGCACCTGTCCCAGGCCTGTGGGCCCAGAGCACTGTCAGAATTAGGGAGGAGGAGGAGGGAGGGAGGGCAAGCCCTAGATTATGCGAACTGGGCTGGTTTGTTCCAGGAACAATGTTCTGACACTGATTCAGCTGTCACTTCCTATGGGGGATGTGCCCAGGGCAGATGCCTGGGTGCTGAGCAGGAGGGTCTGCTCCTGAGAGCCCCAAGACCAGGGAAAGGTGCCAGACTGCCTGGCACAGGCACGCTGCCAGGTCTTCCACCCCCAGCCATTGGCACTTCCCCTGGGCTGGCGGTCCCAGAACACTCGTGCCATGGGAGACCAGCCACCATGGAGACCTGCTGGCTGGCCTGCCCCCCTCAGAAGCCCACTCTTGCTGAGTATTGCAACACCCAGGGTGCAGGGAGTCAGGGGCAGCACTGTGGCTAGCCTGCAGAAGGTTCCTGGAGGCCCCGGGCACCCTGGGAGAGGACGCTTCTCTGGCTGTAGAACTTGGAAGCAGAGCTGGTCTCCATGAGAGAGGAGACAGGTCACCCTCCCCTTAGCAGGGAAACTCGATGCACAGAGGGGACACAGGAGGCCCTTACCTGGCTGCCACCACAACTGTCTTCTGTGCTGCATAAATGGTGAAGCAGTAAGGAGCAGCCCATTGGCTCTCGCTCTCCTCCACCTGTGGGTGAGAGGAGGTTGGGGTGGCACCACCAGGATGGGCCGGTGAAGCCCATACCTGAGGATGGCACCAGCCAGGGAGCCCCTGCTGTCCAAGTCTGCGTGACTACAAGGGACGTGACAGGTGGCAGCTGGTGTCCCCACCCTATGTAGCTGTCACCCAGGAGGACAAACTCTGGACCAGAGGGCACTCAAGTACTTACCGGTGGGTCCAGCACTATCAGCTGAAAATCAAGCAAAGGAGAAGTGTTGAGCTTTTTCACTGTCAGGAAGGAGCTGCGGCTCACAGACCTCACAAGGTCAGATGCCAAGAGAAGCCTGCTGCAGCTTCTGGGCAAGTGACCCCAGGACATGATTCCAAAATGGACATCACCAGGAGAAGCCTGAGAGCAGACACAGCCACCCTCCCGGGAAGGCAAGGTCACCCAGGGATGCTGACGGTCTACACCAGGGGCTGGGGACAGCGTCCATCCCGTCAGAAGGAGAGTAAGAGCAGTCTTCCAGGCTGAGGAGCACACCCATGCCACACCAGCACTGTTGTCACTCCTGCTGAGATCTCTGGACAGGCAAATCACCTACGTGACTGACAGTGACTTTCTCAAGCCAGGGGCCATCATGGAACAGGGGCACACGGTGGCTGGCAGGATGGTGACCACTGACAGCCCAGGCCACAGCCTGGATGGGGATGTGGCGGGGGAACAGCTAAGGGATGGCGTGGCAGGGATGGGGTAGGAGAGATGCTAGGGGACAGCATTGATGGGGACAAGGTGGGTGGGGGGACAGGGCAGAGAACAGGACAGCTTGCCAGAAGGAGCCAGGGCACGAGAGCAAGTTCCCATGTGACACAGGAGAGGGAGGGTGGAGGGCCAGTCTGTTGCCTGTCAAGGCCACCAGCAGGACGTAATCAGGTGGGTAAGGCAAAACCAGACTGCAGACTCGGCCAAGAGCACATGCAGCCTGAAGCCTGGCCAGGCAGCGACCACAGGCTGCCCAAGGAGCCAAGAGCTCACAGAGAGCAAAGCTGTGCTGAGGGGCAGAGGGCCAGGGGGGTGCCTATGGCTGCTCAACCTGCCAGAGGGCAGCAGCAAAGGGGTGGACGTCCGTGCCTGTTGCTTTTCTCCTCTGGTGCTGGGTGGTTGACTGGGAGGAGCACTCTTGCACTGGGCCAGCTCCTCCCTCACTCCTTCTCCTGCTTTGAGACAGGACCTTGCTAAGTCACAGAGGCTAGCCTGGGACTGCCATGCTCCTGCTCAGCCTCATGGGTGGCTGGGATGCCAGGCGAGGCCATCGTGCCTAGTGATACTGCCCTTTCTAAGGCTGTGAGCGGATGCATGTTCAGACCGTGTTAGTGGACCCGGCCACCAGGGTCCCTGTCCTACAGTGACAGGCAGAGACGCACCAAGACCTTGCCAAGTGCCCCCCCACTGTGGGACCTTGAGGATGCCCTAAGGTGTGGGAGAGCCCCACAATGCTGTTCACCATTCTGGAGAGCCAGCTCCCCCTGGTGCCCGGGATGGGGGGCCAGCTAAGTGCGCTTGGTATGCTCCCAGTCAGCACCGACCCCACTGTGTGCGAGAGGACAGCGTGTGGGGAGAGACTTGTGCTGCCATTGGACAGTGACTCGGGCCATAAGCCTCCTGCAGGAGGGGCCACCTTGTGGAGATTAGCGTGGACACGTGTGGCCCCTGGAGGGCCAAGTGTTGAGAGATTTTATCTTACATTGTCAGTTATCTTTTCTATGATAAAAGTGTTTTATTTGTTTGAGTCCTAGGGCTTGAACCCAGGGGCACTTTTATCACTGAGCCACACCCCAGCCCTTTTTATTCCATGAGACAAAGTCTCACTAAGTTGCTGAGGCTGACCTAGAAGTAGTGATCCTCCTGCCTCAGCCTCCCACGTGACTGGGTCAAAGTATGGTTTAAAGTCACCTCTAAACCCATGGACCCAGTCCTTGAGCGGCCCCTGGTGGGCAGCAGGCCTCACACACCTACAGCAGGGCTGCCTTGGGGCAGAGCCATGAGCCTGGGTGGCTCAGCAGGTCTGCAGGTGAGAGGTCACTGCAGGCAGTGTCCTGGGCTGGGTACGTGCTCCTGGCAGAGCACGGACATTGGCTGCCGGTCCTCCCCACTCCCAAGACAGAGGCGGGCGCACACGGAACCCACAAGGCAAGGGAGCCTCCAGAGCCTGTGACTGACTGTGCCAAACAAGGCTCTCGAGAATCAGCCACCAAGAGCACCAACCCACAGGACCAGGCAGATGCTGAGCATGTTGAAATGAGGCCTCTTCCTCTTGGCAGATAGTACAGCAGCATCAGTGGCCAGTGGCTGTCCCAGCCCAGGAGTGTGCTAGGGGTGGGCGAAGCACACTGGTGACATGGACAGAAGCACCAATAGCCTGGTGTCCAGCCAGGGTGTGGACACACAGCTTGTGACTGTTGGAAGGGTGTTAAGGGCAGCTGGGCGGCTCCCAGTTCTGGAGGAAGGCTGTGCACGCTGTGTGTGTGTGTGCATAGGCAGTGGCCACCAAGGCCCGCTCTGTGCAGGGAGCCAGGACAGGCTGCCCTGCCAAGGGCTGAAAGACCCACCTGGAGGGCCGAACCCTGGGTCATTGAGGAAGCCCAGGTGCCACGAAGGTTTGAACCAAGAAGAGCAGCCCAGCAGGCTCAGCCCCTGGGTTTGCTGCCCCATGAGACGGGCAGGGTGTGGGCACATCCCTGTGCCCTGGGCCAGCCTGGGGTCACTCACCAGCATGCCACGGAGTGGAAGGAGACCCCGGATCCGGAAGTGGCTGGTCCCTGCTGCACTCTTGCTTGTGTACAGCAACACATCTGAGAACTGAGGACAGGAAGCCTTAGACAAGTGAATGATGAAAAAGAGACAAAGTTTTGACGTCTTCGTGGTCAGACTCTAGTGGACCTTAGGTGGCCACCACGTGATCATCAGTCAGGGCAGCCTGTCCTGGCCCCAGCGTAGAGGCTGAGTGCAGGAGGCATTTTGGAGGGAAAACACTTTTTTTCATTCATTTGACCCAGCAGCACAGGAGCAGGCTGCCTGAGGGCCAGTGCTGACAGGCAGCTCCCGCCTCCTGGTGATGTGGGCATCCCCAGCTGGATCCAGAAGCAGGACAACAAGGAGACCTGCTGGGAACAAGGACAGCTGGCGGGCCCTCAGGCCTCAAGAAGACAGTGCTTGTGGGTCAGCACTGAGTCCTCCTGCTCGCCACCAGACTGTAGGACACCCTACAGTCACAGGGGCCTGGACTGTCCCACCTTTTGGCTTCTGATTGCCCGGAACGAGAACAGAAAGGGACTGGCCTGGAGGCCTCCTCCCCCTTGAGACATCCCCAAACCCCTGCACGGCCAGGTGCACAGGCTGCTGACAGTGCAGCCTCCCTGCAGAGCAGCACCCATTCCTCTCCAGGTGTGACTCAGGCCGGGGATGTGGCTCCAGTGGGCACGGGGCACCTACCAGGAAGAACATCCTCTGCTGCAGGCCCTTCTTGGTGAGCTTGTGCAGGCAGCCCTCCCGGATGAACTCCTGAAAGACAGCCACGGCACGCGCTGAGCCCCCTGGGCGAGGCCCTCTGGCAGGGCCACCCCACCTTTCAGCAGCCCGACAGAGCAGAGCCAGAGGTCGGGCTGCTGCATTCACTGCTGGGCACGCGAACGCCACACAGCCCTGTCAGGTGGCCAGCAGCTGCACTGGGAGGTGTGCATCGAGCCTCGAGGACACGTCCACACATAGACCCCCCCACACACATGTGGGTGTCCACAGCAATGTCCTGCAGAGGAGGCCTGCACATAGGGCCTCAACAAGGAATGAGGCTCAGACACGCTGCAGAGGGCAGGAACCTACAGGAAGGACCACTAAGTGGCCCCATCACACCGTGCGCCTAGAACAGGTGCCCCAAGACATCATGGCAGTGCTGCCAGGGATGGGGGTGGGACCGGGAGTGCAGGGACCCTGACTGACCTGCCACAATCGTCTTGCATGGTCACCACATGATGCCCGGTGCCCCTGGCTGGCTCCCATGCAGCTGCTCAGCTTGCTGTCAGACTGGGCATGTAGCCCGCTACCGGGTGCCAGGAGCACAGCTGACCATGGTGCCCTCTGACTGACTCTTAGGGCCATGCTGTTAGGAAGTTGCAGCAGGCGCACTGTGTGGCCCAGACCTGCCCACCTCCCCTTTGGCCCCCTCGTGGTGCCTGTGGTCAACCTTTCCACATGGCAGCTCCTAGAGCGGGGTGACCCACTGCCCGGGGCTGAGCACACTTGCTGGGTGCCGAGTGTGTGCTGAATTAGTGAACACACTGAAGACCGCAGACCTGCCCAGCTGGAGGGAGGCCGCTGGGCTCCCTGGACAAACGCTCAGGTGGAACACAGCAGGCAGCTCCCACTCACCCTCCCGGGGGCGACGAGGCTGTCCACGCCCACCAGCTCCCGCTGCAGCTCCATCAGCTTCTGCAGGTTCTCCAGGCGGGTGAGGCTGTGCTGGAGCGTGGTGGTCACCTCTGTAATGGTCTTCAAGGCGTCTGCAAGGAGAGGGTCCTAAGCGCAGGCCCCAGAGTGGTGTGGACGAAGGCCCCCACTACTCCCTTGTGCGGAGTCAGCATATAAAAGGCAGTTTGAATCCGGGGCACGTCTCCTCAGCCCCCTTCAGGGACTATTGCCCATGGCCACAGGCACCTGCCCAGCAGGCACAGACTCCTGCAGACACCCCAGAAACCTCAGCATGTTCCCCCGACAGGGCTGGCCACCACCGCTGCTCAGTGGGGAAGAACAGGCTTCAGGAGTGTTCCTCAGGGAGAGGTGCCAAGGGACTCTGCAGCACGTCAGATGGACGCCGGCTAGACACCACCACAAGAGCAGCCACCCAGTCAGTGCCGGCCAGAGCTGCCGCTGACCTAGTCCTGCTCTCTGGCTACTGCTACCAGGATCATGGTGATACCCATCCCTTACAGGGACTCCTCCCCTTTGCAGGAACCTCTTCCTGCCTGGCCACAGCCCTCAGGGTCCCACCACCCGTGGCAGGACAAGGTCCACAGCCTCACCCAGCTCCTCCGCACAGCTGCCCACACTTCCCGAGGAGAGAGCCAGCTAAAAGGGAGGCACTGGGGAGGCCGTCTCCTGTCAGGACAGGGACAAGCAGCAGGGGTGCCAGCATGGTCCTCAAGTGTAGGGCCCATAGCTGGCATCTGCACTGCCCACGCTCCCAGCTCCTCCCAGTCAGCTTGGACCGGCTGCAGCTCCCCCCTGGCCTCTTTACAAGGCGGGCTACATGCCCAGTCTGACAGCAAGCTGAGCAGCTGCATGAGAGGCAGCCAGGGGCACCGGGCATCATGTGGTGACCATGCAAGACGATTATGGCAGGTCAGACAGGGTCTCTGCACTCCCAGTCCCACACCCATCCCTGGCAGCACTGCCATGATGTCTTGGGGCACCTGTTCTAGGCGCACGGTGTGATGGGGCCACTTAGTGGACAGAGGCCATGGTGTGATGGGGCCACTCATGTGCTCATACACAGAAGCTCAGAGGCCAGGCCTATGAACCTGCCTTGGACAGGACCTAGAGGCCACCCTGCTCTCAGATGCTGTATCTAGAGGACACAAGGCTGAGGGCTAGGACTGCTGCTTGGGCTCTGTGCTGCCCTTGGGCTGGCACTGGAAGCTGCCGGAAGCCGGGCACACACTTGAGACTCGGTCACTGTGCCTCTCCAGCAGCCGAGGGCCAGCACACTGTATCCCTGACAGATCAACACACTGCACACTCTGAAACCACAAGCCGCTTCTCCCGCCCCAAAGGTGCCCCTCTTCCAAATACAAGTTCTCAGGCAGGCCCCGCAAGGCTGCTGGTCCACAGGCACACCTGGGCCTGCTCTCCAGACACAGCTGATGGGCGCGACCAGAGCCTGGCCTGGGCCTCCCCACGGGGCACGCCTCCTGCAGAGGACCACCCTGCCAGCACGTGGGGTCACGGCAGGGAGACACCCAGAGGGGCTGCTGGCATCTCACACATCTGATATCTCTTTTCAGCAGGCCAAGAGGGGGGGACTGTCCACTCCTGCAGCCTGTTCCCCTGGCTCATCAGGAGGCACCTACTGACGTCATGTGGCCAGAAGGAAGTGCCCGGCGTTTTCCATCTGCATTGTCGTGACAATGGCGATTTCCTACACTGGATCTAGGCTGGATCAGAAGTCGTGCGTGTTGGTGAAAGGAGTCCATGTGTGTCACCTGGCTGTCACCTGGCCCAAAGCTACAAGTTTCAGAGCCAAGGCTTCCAGGACAGGAATACCCACAGGAGACAGGCCACTCTGCGGGGTGTGTGGCTGTGCACCTTTGGAGGCTCTGGGGCCCTGGGTTAGGCTGTCCCCTTGTGGCCCCACACCCCGTGGCTCTGTGCTGTTGACACTTGGGCTGGGAAGGGCCTGTGGTTGGTGGAGCAGGAGGAGGGCCACCTGCCTGTAGAGGCCTGCCCCCATCCCCTTCCAGCTGCAGAGAGACCACTGACCACTCTGTGGCTCTCCTGGGTGGACCAGCAGAGGGGCCTCTCCTGCCCCACTCACCGCGGCAGTCGGCATGATCCCGGTGGCCTGGTGGGTGGTGCTGGCACAGGCGGCTCAGCAGCAGACGGTAGCGCACCAGCCGCTGGAGGGGCTTCAGCAGGAATGCGCTGAGAGGCAGGTAGCAGACCTTCTGGAGCTCGAACTCTTGGTAGAGCAGCTCCAGCTTCCTGCAGCGCTTGGTGGCCTTGTCCAGTTCTGTCAGGACTTCGTCATGCCTTTGGAAGTAGCTGGTGAGCTCCTGTGGAGACACAGAAGGGCAGTGTGCAGGGGAGAGCCCCAGGGCCTTTGCAGGCCTTCACACTCCACCCTGACCTGCTGCTCCACAGTGTGCCCGCTGCTGCTCCATGCCCGTGCCCACTGCCCACATGCTTCCTGTGGCCAGTGGAGGATGGCAGGGCTGCACTGACCTGGCAGGGCACAGCAGGTGAGTGCTGGCAGGGATCAGGAAACCCCACTCAAGCTCCACCAGGCCCTAGTGCCCCACCCAGGAGGTCCCAGCGTGGGGCTGAGGAGCCGCTCGGTGCTGCAGAGGGTGTTGCGTTTCTTCTCCAGGCTGAGGGTGAACGGGGTGCTCTCCCGCTGAGCTGCTCCCCAGCCCTCCACAGATGCACTGTGCCCTGCCTCGGCCTCCCAGCAGCTGGTCCCAGACAGGCGTCACTGTGTCCCCTCCACGCCTTACCTTTTTCCTTTCTCCCAGCACTAGGACTGAACCCAGGCCCTCTCCCACTGAGCTGCACCCCAGACTTTTTTCCTCCTGAGACAGAGTCTCACCAAGTTGCCCAGGCTTGTGATCCTCCTGCCTCAGCCTCCATGTTGCTGGGATCACAGGCGTATGCCACCGCTGGGCCCAGCCACACCTGGCGTCTTAATGACACGCCAGCGCACACAGGTGGTGACTGCTACACAGACCAACAGGTCAGGCTAGACCAGTCCTTCTTCTAGAGGGCTTCAGTGGACGTAAAGACAACCTGAGTGGTCTCATGAACTTGACTACCAGATGTGTGCCTAGTTCAAGTAATGCCAGTGCTGAGGGACACAACTTCCTGTTACCCTGGCACAGAGGCCCACCAGGGTGTCCGGCAGGAGGGCCAGGGGCAGGCTGCAGGGCTTCAGGTAGCCAGTGCTGGCTCTCCAGGTGCGGGTGTGGCCAGAGCCCCAGCTGCAGAGAGCCCAGGGGAGCCCGACTGTGGTGCTGCCTCCTCAGCCACCAGTGACTGTGGGCAGCTGGAGGGACAGGGCCGGAGAGCCCCTCCCCTGATGGAGCTCACGCGCTCTCAGGAGGACACCTGATGCAGGAGCCTGGCAGCCTTCAGCCTGGCAGGGCTTCAGCATCCCAGCCCTGGGTGCTGGGGGCACCCTGGACTGCCCAGGGTCTGCCATGGCTGTTCTCCAGGAACAGTGTGGGAGCTGCTCTGAAGAGGGGTGTCCTGAGACGAGGCCTGTCCTTGGGAGGGCCAGAGCTGCTCGTGTCCCAGAACGAGGGGCCGGTGTCCAGGAACTCGCCTGGATGTCCTGTGGTGGGCAGTAGCCCCAGGACCGCGGAGCTTGAGGGAACCCTTCTGAGGATGTTGTCCTGAGGGTCCCTGAAGGGGACCCTGCTGTGGAAGAAGCCACTTGGGGACCCTGTCCCAGAAGAAGGCTCTCTTGAGGTGCGCTCGACACTGAGTGCCCCACTTTGAGGAAGCACCCCAGGGGACCGTGCCTGAGAGGACAGGGGATGGGGAGAGGCTCGGGCTCCCCGCAGTGCCGGAGACAGCCTGAGTCTCCATGGAGGCCGGCCTACCTTTAGCTGGCGCATGGCTGGTAGCAGGACGTCTCCGATGCGCTGGTGGTCACCTGGCGTGTTGGTGCCGGGGGGAACCTCCCTGGAGGGCAGAGGCCTGTGAGGAGGCTGCATGGCCAGGGGCTGAGAGGCCCAGGGCCTGGGCCTGCCGACACTGAGGCACCTGCCTGGAGTTCTCTGCACGGTGTGGCAGGAGAGCAGGGCTGCACACTGCCCGCCCCCAGGGTCCATGCACACTTCAGGGGGGCAGTGGTAGTGACCAGAGCATGGGCCACGGGGTGCAGAATTCAGGGTGTAGGCATTGACCCTGCAGGGCCCACGGCCAAGGTCCAGGGTGTGCAAGGGTCTAGGACCCGGGAGTTGGGAGATGGGGGGCCGGGCAGAAGGCACTGTTACCAGAGTGCCAGCCTGTGCTCCACCTCGTGCAGGAAGCCTCTGTGGAACTTGTAGACGGGGTCGATGCTGGAGAAGAGCAGGGTCATCAGGGCCGCGGACATGGCACCCTCCTTGGCCACGGCGCTGCGGAACCACTGTGGGAGGAGGCGGGGCTGCTGGGGACCGAGAGGCCAGGCCTGAGGCCCATCACCATGGGCGCCCAACACGGGGTTCCACCACTGCGCTCAGCTCCAGCCCTCCTCTCCACTGACCATTCAGCTTTCAGAGTATCAAAGCAATTCTGGGCCAAAGTTTCAAAAGGAGGCCTTCCCCAAACTCTGGCCCAGGGCTTGTCTGTGACTCTTCCAACCTGTCCTTAGTCCTGCAGACTGAGCCCAGAGCTCATACGTGCGTGGCCAGTGCTCCAGCACCACGCACGCTCCCAGACTGTCCCAGCTTTTGAAGTGGGTGTGGTGGTGCAGGTTTGTAATCCCAGAGACTCAGGAGGCTGAGACAGGAGGAGTGCAAGTTCACGGCCAGCTTCAGCAACTTAGGGAGGCCCTGTCTCAAAAGATAAAAGGGTCTGGGACATAGCTCAGAGGTTAAGTGCCCCTCAGTTCAATCCCTAATACCAAAAAGAAAAAAAAAATTGAGACAGGGTCACGTTAAGTTGCCAAGACTAGGCTTGAAATTGTGATCCTCCCTCCTCAGCCTCCAGAGTCACTGGGATTCAGGAGTGGCCACCACACCCAGGGACATGTGTCTTAAAGCACATGTGCACATCACATGGTTGTCAACAGGTGTTTTTCAGGATGGAGCCTCTGTGTATGTTTAGATTTAAGAGGTTAAGAAAGTCACAGTGACAAGGACAGAGGCGCATACCACAGTGAGCACTTCTAGATCCTTCAGATACGTCCGTTCTGTAGCAAGAATCTCCTTGGCTATGAAATAGGCCTCGTCTTCTGGCATGAGCTGAAAGAAGCAGAGGCGACCATGAGCCTGTGTCTGAGGGATGGCCAGCCTTTGACTTCAGGGCCGGGGTGGTGACACCTGCTTTCTTCTCGCAGTCCCGTCATGGGTCTTGGCTTGGATTCTTGCAGGGAATCCCTGCCAAGCACCACAGGCACAATTCGGCCCGGGGGTATCTCCTCTCACGTGGTTTCTCATTTGTGTTATTGTCCTGGAGAAAAGAATTGCTGTTCAAGCCTCAGTAAGTGATGGGATTCCTGTGGACATGCCGTAGCCGTGGTGCAGCTGGTGGGCACAGCTATGGGTGTGTCGAACAGTGTGTATGAGGGTGAGAGAGACACAGTCACTGAAATAGCCAAGCAATACCCTCTACAGCCTGAACGTGGCCCAGGGGCTCCAGGGCTCCCCCCGGCCATCTCCTCCTGCGTGCTGGCTCTGCCCCGAGCCTGCTCAGCACACCTGGCCTTGGGCTGCCGGGTCCCCCCAAGCTGACAGCCTCTGCTGGCCCTGCACAGTGCCTGTTTTCACAGCTCCTCTTAACCACAGGGTTCCTTGGGTGGACCACTCCTCGCCCCCTCCAGGCAGGCACCTGGGATGTACCTCGAGTCCCTGCCCACCAGGAGCTGGCCACCCCAAGAGGAGACAGGAGAGGAGCAGCACTCAGAAATGATGAGGGTGCCTCACGCCCCTGCGGAAGGTGCATGGAGACCAGCAGGCCCAGCAGGTAGATCCTGAGCTGCAGCGAAGGGGCAGCTCCAGGGCAGCCCTCGGAGCAGGCCCGAGGGGAACGTGAAGGGGCCATTCGAGGGCCTCCTGGGGAGGCAGGCCATCTGCCTTCTGGGTGGGCTGGGAATGCACTCGGGCCCCAAGATGTGAGCCGAGCAGCACAGAGGGCGGAGCTGTGGGGGCCTCTGCACCAGCCCAGGGAGGGGACCAACCTAGGTGGGATGCACAGCAGGCCTTGGCCTAAGCCAAGAGAGACCAGACCATAGAGGGAGGTCCACGTGGCTTCAGAGCAGCAAGAGGGTGCAACACAGAAGCCAGGTCCTGCAGAGGAGGCCGGAGCCATGTCTTCTCCTCTGTGCACCTGTCTAGTCCAAGGTCGGCTGTGACAGCCTTCAGAGCCCGGGGATGGAAGGCAACAGGTGTGTCCACCTCAGGGGTGCAGCACCCCAGGGAGGGGAGACCACAGCCCGCAGAGCTGGGCCCTCCCTGCCATCCTCTCCTCTCAGCGCTTCCCAGGTGCCTGGTAGCCAGGTGTGGCCCTGGTCCTGCCATTTCCCTCTGGAGGCCCCAGCCATTCCTGGGGTGCTGGCCCTCCTCTCCAACCCCCCAACCTTCACACTTTGTTTTTTGTGCTATTAAAATTGACTCATTCAAATTAAAATTCAGTAAAATCTCTTTAAAAAGTCCTGTCACCACTTGGATTGCTACATACCCTGGGGTCAGCTCTGTCCCCAAGAAGTCCCACCTTCCCAACAGGGATGCCAAGGTTGGACGCCCCACACTGAAGGTCCTGTGTCGGGACCCCTCTCAGAGGTGACGATGAGGGACTCCTCCTCATTGTCACCTCTGAGAGGGGTCCATAAGCAATAGCCTGACTCCCAGCCCAGCCCAGCTCCTGGCCCTGGGACAGAGATGCCCACACAGTCCAAGGAGAGTCACTGGTGGGCTTCTCTCCCCAGTGCCACCCCACTGCAGGGATGCCCAGGGGAAGGTGGCCTGTGGCCCATCCACCATGGAAGCCCAATCAGGGGCAGAGAGCACTGGAGCCACAGGGGTCTGCCCCCGAGCCACAGGCCAGCCAGCTCCCAGCCAGGGGCACGCGGGTGTGCGAGGGCCTCTCAGGAAGCAGGGTTCCCACAGAGCCTTGCCACCTGCCTCCACAGGAGTACTGCACAGCCTCCAGCCCCAAGGGCCAGTCCTCACCAGTCTCCACCAGGAAGGCGGGGGCCAGCACTGGGCAGCCAGGGCCTCCTGACACAGCTCAGCAGGCAGGTGCACACAGAGGCTTGAGCAGGCTGGACTCTGGGAACATGTCTAACCTGTATTCCCTGAAGCTGCTGGCCCTGTGGGAGAGTCCCCATGGAGTCTGGGCCAGCCTCCCCTGGGCCACACACCTTGCTGGGCCCCCGGTTCTCAGGACTAGCACAGAGGGCCTTCAGGAGCTGCAGGCACACCTGGGAGCTGCATCGACCTCATGGCCCCGCAGGCCAGCAAGCCACTGCCCTGGGGACAGTGTGAGGGAAGGGCACCCACACTGGAGATGGGCCTTGCTGTGCAGACCCAGACACGTGGAAGGGCACCCTGCTGTCCCCTGTGGAGAAGTGGCCGCGGCAGGCCCAAGCCAAGGGCTCTCCCTCTGAGGTGGTCCTGAGCCCCATCTCCTGTCCTGTGGTGACTCCAGGCTTCTCCTCTCTCAGGGCCAGGCCTGTGGGCCCAACACATCATCACCCCACAAATCTGAAGAGTCTCATTTTGTGACACAGTAAGTGACAAACTAAAGCTGTTTCAAACACAGATTTTCTCCAAGCCATTTTTGTTTTTGAACCAAAGAAACATTGAAATAAACATGTTGTTGAGTTTCCAAAGTAAATAAATAAGCTGTCCACAAGAAATCCCCTCACTGCCCACACCAGCTGTCCATGGACATCCAGCAGCCTCTCAGACAGCATGGGCACCTGCCGTGGTCTGACTGCCGGGGAGCTCAGGCCCCGGCCTGGAAGGTGCAGGCACTGTCCCTGCATCCCCAGCCTTTTTAAAGCCCAGAGGCCTTGGGCCGGCAAGATGGCAGGTATGAGCCACTACACCTGGGGGACCCGTTGTCCCCCAAAGCCAGCACCGTCCGGAGCTCACTGCTTTAAGCTCATTTGTCCCTAGATCTTTCTGGTGTGCTCACCTGCAAAACTGCAGCCCTAGGTGGGCCCAGCTGACAGCCTCCCACAACACTGCCCCAGCGGCATGGGGAGGCCAGGAGAGCGGAGGCCGCCCTGGCCACTGACAGTCCTCCTCAGCCCACGATTCAGAACTCCTCTGCTTGCTCATTGTCTACTGCAGACCCGGTGTGCATCCTTGGCCTCAGTCTGTCCACTGCACTGCCCACATTCCCTCCCCCACTTGCCCACCAGGCCTCACCTCCAAGAACAGCCTGACCCCAGTCAGCCCCCACCTTGCCGAGGTCTTCTCCCAGTGACTCCACCATCAAGGTGGCAGGAGGAGCGGGCAGGGGCAGGGGAGAGGCTGGAGGGTGAGGAGGGCAGGCAAAGTTCCCAGGCCCCGCCTGGCAGCCGAGACTCTACAGCCAGAACTGTGGTTGAATGAGAAAGGGTGGAGAGTCCCGGGCAGATCCTGCTGGGAGCCGGGGCAGCTCCCAGCCCCGTCCAGCAGAGCCCCGTCCAGCAGCTCCCCAGCCTACCTTGTGCAGAGGTTCCTCCTGGTCCTGTGTCTGGGCTCCAGCAGCCTCACTGAGGGCAGGGCTCAGGAGGGGGCCCAAGCCCTGCTCGGCTGGGCCCAGAGTGACCTGCAGTATGGGGTGCAGGCTCAGGGGGCTCCTCTGGCTGGAGGAAGAAGGCTGAGCACCGTCCACAGAAAGGCCTGGAACGAATGGGGCAGGTGAAGTGAGATGAGAAGGCTGGGCCCTTCTCTCCAGAAGTGAGACAGAGCTGGGCAGAGGGCTGGTGGCCAGAGAGAGGCTGGACCCAGGGCCCTGAGCAGGTTCCAGGGCCTCTCTCTGCTCTGGAGACGCACTGTGATGGGTCTCCCCAGGAGGTCAGCACCCAGGCCAGAGTCAGAACCATCCCCCAGGCCAGTCTGGGCCAAGTGCGTCCCCATGCCCACCATCTCCAGTGGGGCTGTGCACGGGCCCAGCTTCTGGGGTCTGCATCGTGAAGACTGAGGCTCATCCCGCAGCAGGCAAGGAGTGCTTCCCCACCCGCTGCAAGCTGTGCTTCTGAACGGAGAGGCTCAACCTGAGCCCAGTTCTAGACCACTGAGGGCTCCTTCATCAGTCACTGCAAAGTAGGATTTCCTTTTTGTTTTAATTCTCAAAAGTGTGTTCCTACGATATCCTATGGGAATATCAGTGATTAGGTGCCAAATTTTAAAGATTTTTATTTTTTATTTTTTATTTTTGGTATCAGGGATTGAACTCAGGGGCACTTGGCCACTGAGCCGTGTCCTCAGCCCTATTTTTTATTTTATTTAGAAACAGGGTCTCACTGAGTTGCTCAGCGCATCGCCGATGCTGAGGCTGGCTTCAAACTCGTGATCCTCCTGCCTCAGCCTCCCGAGCCGCTGGGATTACAGTTGTGCACCACTGCGCCCCAATGAAGACCTATTTAAAGCAGGTTTCATAGGAGAAATCTAAATGATGTTTAGAAGTCACCAAAGGTAGGGCTAGCTTGTGGCTCAGTGGTGGAGCACCACATTAAAAAAAATAAATAAGGGTATTGTGTCCACCTACAACTAAACATCTATATATTTTTTAAAGTTACCAAAGGTAGACCTGTGTCACCTCCGAGGGGGTGCACTGCCACGGCACCTCACTATGAGGGTGGGTCAGCTTGCAGGATGCTGGAGAGGGGCCCCTGCACCCCACCCACACTGGCCGCCAAGCCAGCCCTCCACTGTGGCTGGAGCCCAGGGCAGTCACCGAGTGCCAGTTTCTAAAGCCAGTCCATGTTTTGTTAACGCTGCACATGTAACTGAGCAGGGCAGCTGCCTGGAGGAGAGCAGCCGCATGCACAGGTGCACTGGCTGCCACACGGCAGCCCCCCAGTGTGCCGCAGTGCAAGAGGAAGGCCTCACTTCCCATTGACAAACGCAGACAGCTGGAAGACCTTGCCCGCTGCGAGGAGTCCTTGGAACGTCTCTCTGCGACTTCCACAAGACACATTTACACACAAGGAAACGCTGACAAGGCCTAGTCATTATCACCATATGAAGTTACCAAGGACCAACTTATCAGAATGTGCTTTTATTATGCATTTAGTTAAATATGCTCATCGGTATCAGTGACCTCAGGTACCTCCTGCTGCTCCAGAGATGCTCTCTGTCACTCCTGGAGTCAGATGGAAGTGGTGCTCATGCCACCCTGCAGCACGGTCACCTCTGTGCTGCGGAGACGCCTTTCCTCTTTCCTAAGCCGCACCCTCTAGGATCTGTGCCCCCAATCCTTGCCCCTGATTGGACAGAATGGCATTATGAGGTCATCTTAAGTAATTAGAATTCAGAGAAAACTCTAGATGCTACTAATGACTTATTGTTTTGGTGCTGGGGCTTGAACCCAGGGCACTTAACCACTGAGTCACATCCCCAGCCCAGTTATTTTTTATTTTGAGACAGGGTCTAGCTAAGTTTCTTAGGCCCCGGCTAAGTTGCTGAGGCTGGCTTTGAACTCACGATCCTCCTGCTCAGCCTTGCTGAGGGATTACAGGTGGGCCCCACTGCACCTGGAAAGCCACAGTATTTTGTACTCATCACTTATGAAAATAAGTCAAAGCTTACAGGTGTGGTGGTGCACACCTGTAGTCCCAGCAACTGAGGCGGCTGAGCCAGGAGGATCCCAAGATCCAGGCCGGCTTCAGCAACTTAGGGAGACCCCATCTCTAAGAAGTAAAGAGACTGGGGACATGGCTCACGTGGTTAAGTGCCTGTGGGTTCAACCCCCACTTTACTCTGCACTGGGTTTCCCTGAAGGAAGAACAACCAAGGGAGCTGCAGACTCGACTGTCTGAGTGGACTGGGCGGGTGTGGCCTGGGCTGCTGGCTGGGTTGGCAAATGGGCTGCAGCCAGCATAGGGAAAGCAGAAAGCAGCCTTTAATGAAGACGTGCTAGTGGAAGGACACCCCCCTGCAGAGTAGACTCTTCATGCGGAACACACCACCTCGGGTTCTGTGGAGGCCGAGTCATCATAGGATATTACTGTGGTAAAAACTTTCTATTTCACAAAACTTGTCAACTCGAAATTTAGGGAATGGATGAAATGTATCACAAATGCCATTTAACATTTTAAAAAATTGTTTGGCAAACCTTATAAATCATACCTACTTCTGATCACAGCAACACACACCCCAGGTGAAGAGTGCACCTATGGGGAGACACTTGTCACCAAGAGGTGGTGGGTGTGTGCCTTCCCAAACACAGGCCATGCAGTGTGACACAGGCTCTGGGCACCATGTGCCCAGCACAGCGCCGTCGTCACGCGAGCTCTCTCAGCTGGAGGTGGCACTGCATGGCACCCAGGAGGAAGCAAGCCAGGGACGGTGGCTTAGCAGCTGCTCTCCACCAGTGACCAGTGACTGGCGACGGCCGAGGCAGACGCAGGCTCTGCCCCTGGGGCCTGTGGGGAGGCCCCTGTGGGGAGGCCCCTGTGGGCAGGCCCCTGTGGGCCCACCTGTCTGTGAGCCTGCTCCTCACAAACACACCCCGACGCGTGGCTAGCTGGAAGATGTCGTAAGAACTTTCAAAAGGCCGAGTCTCCTTTTGGGTACCACCGGGTTTGTCAGCCTCTACTGACATGGGAGGGCCGACGCCAGCAGCTCCCCATCCGAGCTCTGAGAGGCAGGAGGACTGCCGAGAGCGAGTGCTCGTCACCCACAGTTGAGAGGTCACGTGCACAGCAGTGGGGGCCTGCTGAGCTCTGCCCCTGCTGGGCGCTCCCTGAGGGCCATGCTGCGGGTGGCAAGGCGGGACAGTCTTCAGAGGACACTTGCGACTGTCAGCAAGGAGCACTCTGGCTGTGTCTTCTGATGCTCTCTCAGCGTCCACCAGAGAGTCCTGAAGCACTCCTCCGTGAGGACATTGTCAGCTAACTGGAGACGCCAGGGGGAAGGGGTCCAAAGCCCCGAGGGCGGCACCCGGGATCTGCTCTCGACCCACAACGGTACACTTTCCTTTAAAATTCTCTACCAAGCAATCCTTGAAAGTATGTGCCGCTAGTGGAGGAAGAATCAGCTCCAATTTGGCAATATTCAAGGTCAAGTTGAAGGTTAATCAGAGTGGGTGGTGCCAGCCACAGACAGGTCGTCTTGAACAGAGCCGGCTGACCCCAGGGGAGGAAGGCCTGGTGCGCAGGTCCTGAGAGTCAGCACAGGGGCACTTTGGCTTCCCTTTTGGGCTGTACTCAGAATCTGGGTCAACTGTGAAGGTGAGATCCATCCGGCTTCCGATCACCTCTGCCAGCCCCCGTCCACAGGTGGTGGGAGGAGCTGCAGCTGGTGCCTCTTCCCAGAACTGTCTGCAGCCAGCGGAGGTGGGCTCCAGAGGGGCCAGCTGCTCATGGCAGATGCTCCTCCCCATTCTGTTCTACATAAACAAGGCTCTTTCCTCATGAAGACAGCAACACATTCTTCAAGAACCTTCAGTTGCTGCTTTCAGGGTGTTCTACACCCACGCCACTCTTCATAGTGCCCCTGGCCACCCCACGGCCTTCCCCCTGCTCCCTCAGTTGCCCTGCAGCTTGCCAGAATCGCCATCACGATTGGGGCCACCTTCAAAGGCCAGGTGCACCCAAGCCCTGCCCTCCCCGTCTCCCGTCCCACCCCCATCTCACTGCATCGACCGCAAGGGCGCAGCCCGGGAGAGAGAACTCGGCTAACCAAGGGGCGACCGAATCCTCCCCCACGTCCTCAGGTTGAGGCTGAGAGGCTGGGGTGTGGCCGAGGCCATACAGTGTGCATTGCACTAGCAGAGAAGTGCCTGTCAGCTCTTGCTGGCACTGTGCCAAGCAGCCCGAGGGTCGTCCGGGACACTTCCCAAAGGGGCAGCACAACCGTGCAACCCACCTGGGCAGGATGGGTGCCCCAGACCCGCCCAGAGAGCCTCCTAGAGAAGCAAGGCCTGGCTCAGCTCCAGCCACAGGGTGCAGGCCCTGGCCAGGAGGCAGGGAGGAGTCCTGGGGCCACCTCACCTTTTCTATAGTGGAGCCAAAATACTCACTCACATTTTATACTGTTCTTTCAAATACAGGGATCTGGTACAAAAGGAAGGAAACAAAGAACGAGAATGGAGCAGGCACAGTCGGCCGCTGGGCAGCCGTCCAGACCCACGCAGCTAGGGCTGTGGGCTCCTGTGCCCGGGCAGGGGCTCCAGGGCTTTGGTATTTTTGTCCTAATAAAACTGCCTGGGGAGGGGAGGCTGGGTGGAGCTCCGTGGCAGCGCCCCACACCTGGCCCTGGTTCCACCCCCACTCTGCAAACAAAACGGAATGAAGTGAAGTGAAAAGCCACACCGAGGGCCTCCTCCTCAAACTCTGAGAAGTGCCCTGTGACCAGAAAGGGACGAGGAGTGTGGGTGGTGCTCACCAGGAAGATGGGCCACGGCTGCGAGGCAGGGCCCGCACGTCACCATTTGCTGTCGTGCTGCGAGGGAGGCCGAGTTGGGACGGCTCTGAAGCACTTTCTTGAATCAAGATCTATCCAGGGATGTCCTTCTAGGGGACTCACTTTTCAGGGTCACTCTCCTGACCGGGAGCGGCAGGCACTGGGCAAGTTAGCAGGGAGCAGACCCACGTGGCAGGGGCCTGAGCTCCTGACCTGTCCCGTCCTCTGCAGGCTGTGGGGTCCGCAGTTTGCCCCGACCATGAGCTCCGCCC